GCATAGGATCGCCGACCCACTGAGGAGGTTCGAGCCAACTCCCGCTAGACTTATGTCGGTAAAGGATATCATATCCTATTATTCATCAAATGTCTGGATCTTGACGTTATAGGATAGGGTATCTTTCTGCTCTATCTTCGGTGTGCCTTTATCATCAACACCGTATGCCCTAAAACGACTACTTGCGACCTTGCTTGATGGTTTCACGTATAGCAAAAGGCTATACGTGGACACTTATGCATCGAACATAAGCATCGAAAACCGAACCAAGAAGAAAGGAAATAAAAGAACAAAAATGAGGTGAAAGAGAAGAGACACTGATCCATTTAAAACAACGAAAAGGAGACTGGATCAATTCTCAAAACTCGCATCGAAAAGACCTGGAAAAGTAGGGCCCGAGGTCTTTCCTAACAAACATAAAACATCCATTCGCGTTGATTCTCCAAACCCTAAGGACGTAGGATCAATCAAATCGACCAAATGTTCTTCCAAAATAAGATTTAAAATTTTCCAAACCTCAAAGGAAAATGATCGCGGGGAAACCCCTATCAATACTTCCAAACCCGTACTAAATTCAAAATTCTTCCAACTCAATCCATAACTTCATATATTAAGTAAGCACAGAAATCTTCCCATCAAACCACAGACATGCTCACGATCGGGGTCATTACAAAGAGATGAACAGCAGGTAGGACTCACGGCCAAGGATCAGCAGAAAAGAGGAAACAACCTACAAGGTTCTTGGCCACAGCCAGGGATGAGGATAGGAGGGGCTTACGGCTAGAACAAGGAATGGCTACCAAACTCCATAACCAAAGACAATATATAAGACAATAAATGAGGCTTAGAGTTAGGGTAGTAAAGGGGCCCGAAAGAATTAATAGAGCTCACAATTTAAAGTAGCAGAGAGCAACTACTAAGGCCCATAACCAGAAGCCATCCACAGCCCGAGGGGCTCACGACCAAAGCCAACAAAAGGACCACCAAAAACAAGCAGCTATGCCTCCCTGACTAAATGAAGGGATAACTGAAATAAATATGATTTTCCTTTTTTATGACAAAC